AACGTGCGAGGTTTTACTTTCACAACATACATGTAATGTCCATGGCATGCGACACCAGTCGCGATTACCCTTCTACCTCTTGCTCGGGTAATCATTTCAGCCACTATCCTCAATATTCATACCCTTCGTTCCCAGTCCTTCTCCGCCACTTTCCCTATCCATGAAGTGTACTCATCATCTATCCTCAGGATCTTCCGCAGTCATCATTCTTCTTTTCGATGCAAGTAGAGACATCTATTTTAATTTCTCTTTTCTTCCTTAGTGGTCGTGGTATTCTTGCAATGGTGGTGATGATTGTTCTTTTAATTTCTTCCTTTCCAATTCTTTCGTTCAAATGGGGTACGTTTTTTGCATTCCACAAGAGTTGATTTTCTGTGATTTCACTTAATCTACAGGCAATGTGGTTCTCAATTTTTGGAAGTCGGGATACTGCACAATTGTAGTCCGGTGCTTGTGTAAGCACCTGTCTGTGATTGTGTAATATTTCCCCGACTGTCTTTAATTTTTTAAACATCACACACATCCGAGCTGTCAAATCGTTTGCCAAATTGTTATTACTTACGTTTTCCAAGATAGACTCAGTTGTTGTGTTTCTCACTTGCTTCATATTAATGCATGCATCAAATGAAATCTTAAATATCAGCCTTCTCTTGATATTAAATGCAAACTTCTTCTTTGAAATTCGTGTGAAGATGCCTTTAATTGTTCGCCTTTGCTTCTTTCTGGTAATCGATCCCACCTTTGACAGAAAAATCAGTATATCATCTAACGATAATTTATACAGTTCCCTCCATCTCCATGGTGCCCTCAAGCAGTTAATCGGAATATTTCTATGTTTTTTTTGTTTTCGGTCTCGTATGCACCAGTTGGATCACATAGAAGATACATTCATTTTCGATTCGTTTTCTGCATTTTTTTAGCTGAAACTTTGTGTTGTCAATTTTCACAATTGTTGATCCGAATGTTCGTTTAATTACTTTCCATTTTTCATTCTGTAGTTTTTCAGCTGTGCAGTAAATCATTGCTTTCGGTTGAAGTATTGATGTTAACTTCGTAATGTAACCCGATCGAACCGATTTAAACAAAACAGGTATATTCTGATTCACCTCATTGTTTTCATTCTTCTTCTTCTTTCTCCTTCTTCGTCTTCGTTTTTTTGGAGTTTTTCTGCCTTTTCCCCTTGTATTCAAGAATGGATTTAGTCTCCTAATCAGTGTTGCTTCCATCCCTATCACCTCTGATCTCACTCCCGTCCAAATGGGTATCAAAACATATTTCTTCCAACCAAATTTGTGCAGCCAACTGTATAGTTTCCGCTGTGCTCCTCTATTTGGATTCTTGGCCAAGTTTATGTGTTTAGTCCATCTCTTGTCGGGCCGTCTTCTTGTCCTCCCTAAGTACATATGTCTACACCAAGGTGAAACTCCCTGTACTAACTAGTTGCTCAATTTTCGTTGATAGCCTGTGTATCTACTCCCACTTCTCTGTCGTTGTGAGGTCGCCTAATGCTGAGGTGTCTTCTACCTTTCCAACAGATCTTCGGCGCTCGAAGATGTGTCGGATGAGTCATACTCATCACTCCCGCTTGATCTTGTACTAAGGCTCTCGTAATCATCCTTACTTGTGTCGCCGCCAGTTGTATTGGACACTCTGGTGTTATCTGGATCTGGCATGATCTGTGTTTCAAGATCAGAATCCCGGTTGAAGTTCTGCCCCTTGTAGGCGATCAATCCAGGAACTTGCCTCAATGCCGAGATCGCTTGCGGCTTGTCCTTGTACCTGATGCCATGCATCTTGCATAAGACCTTCAGTTCCGTGTAGTGAAGACGAAGGAGCTGCATGTCCGTCATCGGTTCGACCCCGAAATTAATGTCCCGTTTTGCCTTCGACTTCGCTGCCGACACGTTGCGATTAATCTTCGTTTGTCCTCTCTTGGGGTGTGGAGGGATTACGCGCCCCAATCTGCTTTTGTTCGATGCGCTTCTGCTTGGCATGCTTCGGCTCCCAATGCTGTGGCTACCATGTACTGAGTTGGTAGTCTAGTCATTGTCCCCACATATCCGTTCGGATTAACCAAAGACGACACGATCGGAGTGCAGGTACAAGTCGGTTCATTGATCTTCTGCAATGCGCCCTTCACAACCGCCAGATCATACTTTAGTAGTTTCAGGTTGTTGACCTCATTCTGCACTTCCGATACCATCCTTTCTACTTTATCTTCCGCCTCTGCATTCTTCTGACCGGTTGCACTTGGACCAGCTTGATTATGTACCCCTTGGTTCATCTCTGTCGGCTTCAGTGCTTCATCAATGATGGACTTGAGCACATCCGGAGTTAGCTCAGGCTTCTTTGCGGTGTCTTCCTTGTTCGGAGGAGCAAGCTACTTTTCACTTGTCTTTCGTATGAGTTGCTCCAGTGTCTTGAGAACTTTGTCCATCTCCCGGCGGAGCTTAAAGATTTCTTCCTTTAGATCCGCCGTAAACCACGCTCGATTTCTCGTTGGGGGGAAATCATTCCGTTTTTGCTCCCACAATGGTCTCGAGAACCACCTTGGAGATTCTGACTCCGCCCTTCTTCTCCGTAACGATGGTGATCTTGACTTATGTCTTCTATCTCTCGGAGTTTTCGATCTCCCCCTTCTTTAGCGCTTCCTCCCTTGAGATCCGGAAGATGATGATGAGTGTCTGCGCCGCCTCCTGTCCGACGATGATCGCGAACGCGACATCTTCCTTGAAGCTTGGGAACGTCAGGTAGGTAGTCTTCGTACTTGAAATCGATAAAAAAACCCACAACGCCATTAATCGTCTTCAGTACACACCAAATAAGTAAAATAGAATCTCCAAAAATCCCTGAGTAATCTCCACGCTATAGTAATCTCCAACAAATCGTCACTATGATATCATGAAAGAAAAGGGTTACGAATGATGAGAGAGAGATAAAGACAGTGAATGTAAAATGGAAGAGTGACAGGTCTATACAGTGTCAATCATCGAGGGTACCGCCCGCAAGTTCTAAGCACCGTGCATAGAGATAAACACATGCAAATGTAGACAGAACGTTTGAGGTTTTACTTTCACAGCATACACATGCAAATGTAGACAGAACGTTTGAGGTTTTACTTTCACAGCATACACATGCAAATGTAGACAGAACGTGCGAGGTTTTACTTTCACAGCATACACGTAATGTCCATGGCATGCGACACCAGTCACGATTACCCTTCTACCTCACTGCTCAGGTAATCATTTCAGCCACTATCCTTAGTATTTATATCCTTCGTTCCCAGTCCTTCTCCGCCACTTTCCCTATCCTTGCAGTGTACTCATCATCTATCCTCAGGATCTCCCGCAGTCGCTCTCTGTGTTGTCCTAGTCGTCGTCGATTTCCAACATGCCTTCAATCTGGAGCTACTTTCATCATATCTAATGATTTTGTGCGTGCTACTCACGTACTCTCCTCTCTGTCGGAGTTCCGTCTTACTGTGTTGTTCTGTTCTTGTTTACTTTCATGGCCGTGGATTTTCCTTCATTTCTAGGTGAGTATTTTTTCTTTATTGGTTCGTTTCCACTGCTTCAGGTCTTTCATCTTCTATCTGTTTCGTATGTTTGGAAATGTGAGCGACACTGTTACGTCATTATATCTGTAGAAATTCCGTGATATTCCAGAGTACTTAGTCGTGTATGTTTCCTTTTCGTCCTGAAATTTTATTTTCATTCCGTGCAAAATTATATTTTTGATTTTTGATTTTTGATTTTTCGATTTGTGATTTTAACTTTATATTCCGAGTCGTGTGAATTTCTTAACGTATTTTATTCCGGACTTTTAGTTTTATATTCGTCAATTTGGTGCTTCTTGCTTTTCCAGGTAGTCCTGAAATTTATTTCGGACGTCCACGTCCCTGCAGTTTCGGATGAACGAAAGTATCGCGGCGCGGGTTATCCTCCATGGGTAATCCATGAGTCGGAGTTCCCGTCCGAACAGGTCAATCACGGGCGGTAGATCCGCCATCTCGTATGTGTTAGCTACCATTCGATGAAAAGTTCCAATAATCGTCAAGGTTTTGGTTCTCTCAGAAGCCGCACTCCTGAAGTGACGCAACGTCCTGAGAGAGAGAGAGAGAGAGAGAGAGAGAGAGAGAGAGAGAGAGAGAGAGAGAGAGAGAGAGAGAGAG